TATATATATATATAATATATATATATATATATATATTGAGGCTACCTGCATACCTAATTACCGGAGTCTTTTGAAAGACATACACCTGTCGTCGCGCACGCGTGATATGTTAGTTATGAAAGGAGAGCGTCTGCTTGAGCTGGTAGTAGTTGTATACCATTGATTTATCTATGGTTACGTTTCAGAATTGAACTAAACTTCTTAGTTATGATATGGGGCCGTAGACTACTAAATCCGAGGTAGCGGCTCATGGTTTGAATGGCTGTATGCTCGCTGGTGTCGTTCTCTATTGTTAAACGAGGTGCTTTTTGGATCACTTGCAAGAACAATACTTCCGTGCATACACAACTACACAGGATAAGTCGAATGTTTCGGTGTAGTCCTGTGCGGCATTCACACCTGCCATTGGCTGATCAGAATGGAGCTTCAACTACGCTTATGGAAGCAAACCTATGAGATTGTAAGAGGAGAGTTGTATACCAATAGTTACCTACTACTGGCGTCCTAGTCTAGTAGGGACGGTATCAGCGAGTGCAGGGTTAACGAATGCCAGCATCACTGACCGCATTTGCATGCGCATAGAATATATGTGTCATTATTAAAGTAATGTTGTAGTCCATCGGCGCTGTTGTTGCCCTGACCCACAATGATGTACCTGAATTTTGAACCTTTCTCCAGGGAATCATAGCCCTCCTGTTTCTGGAGTACACATAGTAGCTGTCTCGTTGCGGCTTGTGCCATGTACTGCGAGTGGTCGTGCAGGTCCAGTTCGCCTTGTTCGTTTAGTCGAAGCCAACGTTGATCAAACTCAGGCAGACTTCGAAGCATGTGCTCATAAAACAAATCGATCAGGTCGTTGTTCTTACAATCTGAACCGAGTGCCTGAATAATTGCACTGTAGCTTGCATCGTTTATTGGTATGTTCTTGTCGCACATCTCCATGAAAAGATCCAGGGCTTTCTGCCACTGGTTTCCCATCCCACATGCCGATATGGTGGCACTATAGGTAATCGTATCGCGGTTGATATCCTTGGTCGCCATCTCATAAAACAGATCCAAGGCTTTCTGCCACTGGTTTCCCATCCCACATGCAGATATAGTGGAATTATAGGTAATCTTATTGCGTTTGATACGCTTGGTCGTCATCTCATAGAACAGATCCAAAGCTTTCTGCCACTGATGTCCTTTCTCGCATGCAGACATAGTGGAACTATAGGTAGTCGTATTGCGTTTGATACCCTTGGTCTCCATGTCATAAAACAGATCCAAGACTTTCTGTCACTGATGTCCTTTCTCGCATGCAGATATAGTGGAACTATAGGTAGTCGTATCGCATCTGATACCCGTGGTCTCCATTTCATAAAACAGATCCAAGTCTTTCTGCCACTGATGTCCTTTCTCGCATGCAGATATAGTGGAACTATAGGTAGTCGTATTGCGTTTGATACCCTTGGCTTCCATCTCATAAAACAGATCCAAGGCTTTT